TACATGAATACATGCATGCATGCATGCATGCATGCATACTTACATTACATTACATTACATTACATTACCAAAATAATTGCTACAACCATGCATACATCCATCCGTCCTTCCATGCATGCATACACGCATGAATGCATGTATAAGTACATAAATACATACTTGCACATGTACATATTTTGCATGCATGCACGTACACATCTTGAACCCTCCAATCATCAACCCTCTGATAAGCATTGGCCTTCTAACTGCCTTGCGGATCGCTTCGCTTCCCACTGCACCCCTCGAACGAAAGTGGTGTCTGCAAAGCCAAGGAAGACAGCATGATGCGTTTCATGATAGTCCGGCAGAACGGCCACAGGCTCGGATTGCTCTTGCAAAATTACTTCCATAATTCCGCACACCTGGTGCAATATTTGTCTGCAGACAGAAGCATGGCAAGATCAGAGTTCCAAACGATATGCTTTTGAGGGTCTCGAACCGACCCCTTACACTCTACAGTACCTGAGCTTACAAAGCTACTTCCAGCAGGTCAAGCCAAGGCCGAGACCCAAATCGTGCTGACCTGCAAGCACATTCCTCTGTCCTTTGTAACACCCTGCTGGCGACGAGGGGCATCCTGCTGAATCTGTATCTCCGCGACGACATCTCCAGAAACAGATCTGATGCGCACTTCAGTCTTGTTCGCTTTGCAATCGCCGAGATCTTTGGGTGGTATGAATCAGCTTGCTGTGGCATGTTGCTAGGCGTGAAAGCCATACGATTTGAAACTTGCCTCTCCTACTAGTAACTAGTACGATGTTCACTCTTTGCATTACCCATTGGCGCTTCCGGTCGCAATTTTGCCTTTGCAATGGCGACTTCGGTAATCAGAGCCCTGTGCCTGTGACCCTGTGCACGCTTCTAGTTTCTGCATCTTTACTTCTCTCCACGGGCCCTCGCAACTCTAGACTGTTCGTGCAAGATGGCCACAGACAAGCAGCTATGCTGAAAAATGAGCGGCAGGTTACCATCGGCGCAGTCACACTCGGCAAGGCACGCCCGATTCATTTTCGCTTCTTGGAAAGCGATCAGGCGCGATGTGAAAACTATGGCTTTCAAACCCACGTATGGCAGAAAATGGAAAGACCGCGCAGAGTTGGAGAACAGCCCCACAAGAATGCTGCGTCTGGGCGCCTGGTGTATACCAAAGGGAGCATCTGTTGTCGGCTGTCAGATCATCAAACTCCAGCGGTCTGCATCGTCCCATCCCGCTGAGGGCAGGAGTCAAACAGCGCCTCGGAACATAAATATTTCGGCCGCGGACCGCACCAGAAAGCCGATCGCAAAGCTGGCTCCATACGGGATGAACAGGTAGGCCACTCCCCCGTGCCAGGCCGTGCCGTGAAAGCTCTAAGTGAAACAGGAGTCGCCTAATATAGATAACTTGCAAAGCAGGTGGTTTTGTTCATGGCGCTGCTACATGGATCAAGCTTTCTTGATTGATAGTAATGTTCCTGCTTTGCCCTCTTACCTGCAGTGGTCATGGTCCAATACAGACTTGAAGTGCGTCTTGTGTCTGCATTCTCTGAACATGGACCGATCGCAGGCAATTTTAAAATTGTGAGGGTTTACAGTAGAGTAGGAGTGTCGCCTTGCTTGGTAAGTAGCTCAAACAGGCATTTTCTGGGATAATTCCTTGTCGTACTTGGGGATGGACACTCATACCCTCTTCGAGGTCGGTGTACGGGTGGCACCAACCAAAATCTGCAACAGGTCTTTGGCCTTCAGCATATTCACCAATGTCCTGTGGTCACGGCTTTGCGGAGAGGTCACGAGACACTTTCAGTCTTTCCAGGGTTCTTCGGTGCAAGACATGCTGCGGGTCTCCTTACAGGTCCGACTGCCCATCGTCGGTCAAATGGGTTGGCCCTAATGGAAATCGTGTCTCAACCTCAGAGACTGCCGAGGCGAATGGATTGAGGAAAAGCTGGTCTCTGAGTTTGTTTAAAGGCCAACTGAAGAACGC